CAGACCACCTGGTTCTGAAGTATAAATCAGCCTTGAGCCTGGTTCTGCTGGAGGTTTCTTCCTGTTCAAAGGGAGTTTTTCCTCTCCACTGTCGCTACAAGCATGCTTAGTGTGAGGGATTGCTGAAGAGTCAATGAGTCGATGCAATCAGCTGGTTTTCCATAGATAGAAAACTTTGAATTAATCTGATTGGATGATCTGGTTGAATTGTCTTTAAAGTGACCTGAGATGACAGGATGTGAATTGGAGCTATAGAAATATACTGAATAGAATTGGATCCTCATGTCCTGCAGCGCTCAGTTTCCCTGAAGACCGTGAAAAGCAAAGACTAGGACATCCAGGGTGGCATCATGGAGCTGTGCTGAAACGTCCTGGAAGCATGAAGACATCAAGAGCAAGAGGTCTGGCTGGAGACTAGGGGGAACAGAAACTTGTGAAGGACTCGGATCTGTGGATGGTACGGTAGAACCATTCTGGCTGATTAACATTACAGAGCTGAGTCTGTTGGGCAGACATGAGCACAGCTGATGTACCATCAAAGCCTGTGGAGCACCAAAGCAGCCCATAACCCCCAAACCTTCATTCATGGCTACAGGACGACTGGGTGCATGCTTCACGGAGGATTGCACTTACAAACTTTGGAAGGGCGACTGTCAGGTTGATGCTAGAGAGGCTGACTTCATGACCGCTCTGCGCACAGGCCACCAGACGGAGAGCAACATAGAACCCCTGAGAAAACAAAAGGTCGTCAGAGGGCACTGCTATAAAGATGCATGCAAGGAAAAATTTACAGAGAAAAGCTACAGTTAAAGAAAAAAAAGAGCACAGAAATAAAGACAAAATATGAAAAATAAACATTGGATTTCATTTAAATGGCCTCTACTCGCCCTTTACATCACCTGCTTCATCCAGAAGCAGGTCTTTAGAGCAGCAGCCTCAGCAGAGACTCTGTGGATGAAACCCAAACTGCCCCCTGACCACTAACCCTTCACTAAACTGCCCCCTGACCACTAACCCTTCACTAAACTGCCCCCTGACCACTAACCCTTCACTACAAACTGCCCCCTGACCACTGACCCTTCACTAAAACTGCCCCCTAACCACTGACCCTTCACTACAAACTGCCCCATAACCACTGACCCTTCACTACAAACTGCCCCATAACCACTGACCCTTCACTACAAACTGCCCCATAACCACT